TCCTGGATTTGTTAGCTGTGTCGCGGCCTGATGCGAGCGGGATCTGTCCCGGTCGGGTTGGGTCGTGACACCCCAGATCTCTCACCTATTTAAAGGCCATGCCACTCCAAAAAACTAGAAATAGACCCCTCATTTCTCTTGAGAGGGCGACCCAAGCAAGAAGAAGAAGAGAAAGTAGGAGGGAAAAAACTCCTCCTCGACCACTGCCGGAATTCTGCCCGAAGCCCGAGTGACGCCGAAATTCTGCCCGACGCCCAAGTGAAGCCATAATTCTGTTCGACGCTAAAGTGATGCCAAAATTCTGCCCGACGCCCAAGTTACATCAGAATTCTGCCCAAGCGACGCCGAAATTCTACTCGACGCCCAAGTGACGCCGAAACTCTGCCCGATTGCCAAGTGACTCCGGAATTCTAAGTGTCTATGAATTCAGCTCGAATATACAACTTATTTGTAATTGGATTTCAATCTGGAAGTGAAGCATTGTAATTCGATCATCCTAAATTTTAAGTATGAGTCAGCCACTTGTACTTCAAGAAAATACTAGTAAAATTATTTCAACTTAGCGTGGCCCCATGATTTTTTCCCTTTCCAGGATTTTCAACGTAAAAATCCCGATGTTATTTCTCCCCTATTTGTGTACTAGATATCCGTAGAACGCTGAGACAAAAAGTTTTTAACTCTATCATCGCGTATATTCTAGCCCGCAACAAAATGATTTATGTAAACATTTATGTATCATAAATACTTTAATAATGATTTTAATTATTAACAAATTGTTTTAAAATTATGAAAGGTTAGGATAATTTTTACTAAATTATCAAATTTAGCTAAGATTATCTTGTTTAATGAGATTTATTAAATAATTAAATTCCTAATTTTGTAAATTTATATTTCAAATAAAATTTCATAATAATATATAAAACTACTTGAAAATCAACAAAATTTAAGACAACATACAATTTTTTTTAAAATGATTTTCTAGATGGAATAAAGCATTTTAAATTTATCTAATTTTTAAAATTTTAAGAATTAAGAAATTATTAGGTTTAATATCATCTTAGTATAATAAAGCTTAATCATCATAGATGTAGTTAGGTGACACACTGATACCCTAAAATCTAAGCTAAGCTAGCTAGATCCTAAGTTAATAGTGCACATCCATTAGGGTTGACATATACACATTCTTGATGGTGCACCATAAAATTTAGTGCATATGACTACAAAAAATGCTTAACACATGATTCTTTATGTCATACTACACTGAATACACATGTTTTCTATACACCTACTTTTGGCTTGCATTTACACATACACATTCCTCACACTTTGTTTTCTTTGTGTTTACTCATAACCATGCCACAATGCTCCTAATGTCCTAACATTAATAAAATAATATATGGCATCTCATTAGATATATGCATAAATAGATATATATATATATATATACACACATATCCATGACATTGTGATAGTGCACATGAGTTGTTTGCCGATGGTTAAATCTTATTGTGATGCAAAGCTAAAAACACCCTGAAAAATTAGAATTTCTACTTAACAATTATTCTTCCTTCCCAATTGTTCCCTAAAAAGGTAATATATGATTTTCTTTGGCATTACACAAAGTATTGTAGGTCTAATTATAAACTAATTGTGGGTTAATCAGCATGTCCTTGTCGATTCACAATACAGGAAAGCACATATTTTACTCTTGTAATAGTTTAGGTGGATAAATCAAAAAAATTATATCATTATATACTTTATATTAATATCACTAAAAGTCTCCTTTTTTTCTTCTGAATAAAACTTACATAGGGGCCTCACATTAATTTAAATAAAAGGTTAGAAGTCCTTAATGAATCAAAAGCTCTCTAAAAATACAACATTTAAAATAAAATATATGAGCCATTGATTCAATATAATACATGAAATGAGCAAAAAGAAAAGGAGGCAAGCCAAACCATCAAGAGGGCCTCCAGAAATATGTAAGCAGCTTGATAGCAATCATCCATCCAAAAAAGCCTCTATCCTACAGGAAGTACCCAAGAAGCCACCAAACATCAAAAACCTACAAAAAATATAGGGAAAGAATGAGAAAAAATAGAAAATTAAAAGGCTAAGAGAATTAAACCCAAGCAAAACTCAGCAGCACCCAGACTAACCAAGAGCAACCAAACTAGGACCAGGAGCACAACCACAATCCCCAATAGTGCGAGCCAACCACCAGAGAAAAACCCCTGGCCCAAGATAAAAAACACAAAGCCCAAACAACACCAACAAAACCCCATAAAACAGCAGACATTGCAAAAGAACAACTAGCAGCAACACCAAGCTCAATAAAAAAAATTAACATTTTTTTTCTTATTTTCTTCCCTAAAATCATTGAGAAACCAACTTTATCAATTTTCATCACATCCAAAACAAAATCCTATAAAGAAAAATTAGAAAAACTACCATAAATATCCCCATCACAACACTTATTACACACAAATTCCATAATACAATCAAAGTGATCAACAGGGCCAATCAAACCCTTATGCAACTCATCATCCAAGTCAATACATGCAACATCCGGCATGGGAGAAACAGACAAATCAATAATAGGGATGCTATTAGAAACATACATCCCTTAAATAAGAAGATCAGAATCCATGATAGGATTCGAACTAGAAGCCACATATTTACTCATAATATCACAACCGTCATTCACAAATTACTCAAACCAACAGAAGAAGAAATTAAATGCTTACCAAAACTATCTGAATAAGATCAATGTTATCCATTTTATCACTACCACAATTCATTTTTTTTCAAAGAATTAACACCAGATTAACCATAGGGGAATCAATATTTTTGTTAACAAAAACAACTTCAGAAGGAGGAAAAATATGAGATCAAATCAAAGATCACATTCCTAAATGCACATTATCAAGAGCAGAAATGTTATCATTCAAAGTCACCTTACTAGAATACCTAAAAAGAATAGAGGCATTATTGGATTTTGGATCAATTAAAGCCAAAATCCTAGACTCCATAATAGCTAGGAATAGGGACAAAACTAACATAAGACTAATCAAAAGTAATTTCAGCCTTCCTCAACTGAGGATACAATCTAATACATTCATAATTTTTATAACCCACATATTTGCAATTAACACAAAAACCAAAAAAATCTTCCAAAATCACCTTTTGATTATAGCAAAATTTCTCGGGACCAAGCCAAAAAAAATCTAGATAGGTCTTAGAAATGTCCATTTTCACAAGAATATGAGCAATAACAGACGGCCTAGAACCCACATCAATGGCGTTATCCATTTGCAGTGATCGGACAAATAAAGAGTCGAACCCGAAATAATGCGTGGAGAAAAAAGATGATGGCGAAGCTCTAGAAATAAGATCCATATATGGACGACCGGAGACTCTTCCGATAAATTGAGAAATTGCGTCCATTTTATAGACTTCATAAAACAACCATAAATGAAGTAAGATCTATGTTAAAAACCCTTCCATAGTCCAGATCATTGGATAGCTTGATGAAAACATTGCTCTGATCCAAAGTGGTGACAGAAAACTCACCCGACAGTTTGGGGTTGAAGGAAATTTTCAATCTAATCTAACATAAGGCGGCAATTGATAGAGTATCGATCTCACGAAGACGAATGTTTACTTGCAAATACTAGTAATGTCCACTTCAATTACAACAATTATCATACTCGATAAAAATATGATTTGGTGGAAATTCAACCACTTCAGTAAAATCAATAATAAAGTAATGAATATATTTATATGAATAAAATATTTTGGATTGATGAAATGTAAAATTAATATGTTTTCTACTGATTCTCTTAATAATGTGATGTTATTCAGTGCATAAGTATCATCGACCCTAAGTCAAGTGCAAAGAGACAAAGGACGGGTTTAACGTATTCCACACTCAATACCACTCTAACAAACATACTATTTATAGAAAAATAAATATAAAATAATCCCTTAGCTTTTGATTCTTTCATAAAACTTTCTCTTTTCTCACACTATAACAAGCCCTATCATCACTAGATAGAGTAGTTTTGATCTAAATCCTTGATATCATACTTTCCAACTACTAATAACATTTGTTAATCAAGATTTTTCTTGGATATTGCACCCAAAATGTAATTAACAATTACGCCCATAACAAAATTTGATCCCTTGATAAAATAAATCCTGATTACTCTCCATGATTTGTTATATTTTGATGTTCAAACCCTCTTTCGTACATAAGGCTCTTTAAAGTTGATTAATGACTCCCATCATTTCATCACAAAAAAGAACCTATGGCACAATAAATAATCAAGAATCCTATAAACAAAAAACTTGTTCACATAAGTGGCAAGCAAAGTCATTTATAATGCTCAAACTGTAGATTAATTATTCTGTGCGGACGCCGAATGCTATTCGAAGACCGACCAGAATGTGCTACATCACCCCTGTGATTGATACTGCAGTTCTGTACTGCTCGGTACGGCTCAATACCGTTGATGTGGCGCATTCTGATTGATCTCCGAACGACGTTCTACGCCAGATCTCCGCCTAGAATAATTTCTCCTAAACTGTAAGCTACTCATTACAGTAAAACATGGGAAGATCGATATAGCCATATTTTTGTGGAGTTCATGGCAATCTGCAGCAACAGCTTTTGATCTCGCTTGCATGCCATAAATTTTCTCATTCTATGCTTCCAAAGAAGTTCCACATGAAAATTCACCCATGCATTCATTATTCAGTTCCTTCTCTCTTAACGCACCAGAACAAATAAATAAAGGAAAAGAGGGAGAGGACAGGCCAATTGCATAGCAACTTCAATTTCATTGCATTTTTCTTTGCTTTCCAATTTTTACAAAAGGCATCCCCTTATATAGGATTTGGATTGCCAAATGTTACATGCTTTATTCTCTAAATGCAGCAACCAGAAAAAAAAAATTTAAACACATTTTTAACTTCAAGTTGATATTCAACAGAGGAAATTATAAGACCAGTTCTTCAGTGTCCCCCTCAGATGTCAGTATTTGAAGCACCTGCTTCATTGAAGGTCTCTTCTGAATGTCTTCTTCCAAGCACAGTAGCCCCACATTTAGCAGCCTCAACATCTCTTGTTCATTGTAGTTTCCACCTAATCTTCTATCTACTACCCGGAGAAGCTCACCCTCTAGTTTCAGATTCCGAAGGAACAAAATAAATATGGTCAACCGCTGCGTCCTCTCACAGCAAAGCCGAAGCACCATGGATCCATACAAATAAACATCAAGCTTCTCTGTCACAAAAGCATTCAATTGACACTCTGGAGGATCCAGCTCCGTTATCTCCCTCCACAGTATATATGGCGGCCCACTAATAGCAAGTCCAAAATCCCCCAATTTTGGATTGAAATCAGCATCCAGCATCACATTTCCATCTCTGACATCTCCATGAATCACCTTGGGCGAGCACTCTTCATGAATGTAGACAAGAGCCTCTGCAACTCCAACGGCTATTTTGTATCTGTGAGACCAGAGTAGTTGTTCACGATTCCAAAGGGCGTCCGCGAGGCTTTTATTGGGCATATAGTCATATACAAGAATGGGCTCATTAAGGTTCTCATCACACCATCCTCTTAATTCAAGTATCTTATCATGTTGAAGGCGGTGGATAGCCGTTACCTCTATTTCAAAACTGAACTTACTTGTAGGGCTCTGATCAAATCTCTTCACTGCATACGTAGCGTTTGATCCAGGAAAGATTGCTCTGTACACTGAAGCATATCGTCCTGTTCCAAGAGTCTCTGAATAGTGGAAATCTTTGGTTGCAAGACTAAGTTCACGGTATGTGAACTTATGAAATCCATCTAACAAAAATGAGTAGAAAGAATGCCGAGTCCAACCAGTAGTGTCCGATAATGGGATTTCAGGGTGGTTTTCTTTCCATTTCTGGAACAATTTTTTTAAATAAGAAAAGACAGCTGAAATTATTGATATAAGAGCAAGTACGGGTGTGTAGACCGCAAGAACAATGACTTCCTTCTCGTACTTTTCAGGCTGAGAAGTATCAGACCCGAAGGTTTTGAGGCTTCTGCATTTGATTACTGGATTGGTGGCATTTCCCACCTCGGAAGTTGCGAAATTTAAGCAGAGGAATGGTGGAAATTGGTTTCCCACCTTCTTGATCCAGTTTCTTGGTAGAATAAGCCAGACAGTCAGGCATCTGTTGCTTCCATTCTTGAACATTTTTAGCCCCAATGGAAGAACATTTTCATCAAGAAGTAGCTCTTGTGAGGACAAGAAGAGCGCAGGACCGTTGCTTCCTTGAACTGAGAAGAAGAGTTCTTTACTGAAGGAAACAGATGACTTTATTATCATCTCTTGAAAAGGAACAAGAAGGGTAAAGGATTTGTTCGTGAAGGAGGGGTCACTGAGGAGAGTGACATTCTCCACACAGAATGCGGAGATGTGAAGGCTCAGATTGCAGATCAAAGCAGAGCTGTCATTGCCATGGAGGGAACAGATAGGGATGGGTAGGAGGAGGAGGAAGAATACGAGAAAGATGATAGAGGATGTTCTTTCTTCATCCATTGACGAAGCTTTGGAGAATAGAGAAGGTGGAACATTCGAATGAAGAGATTTTGATGTAAAATGATACAGAGGGCGAGGAGAAACACATAATGTGGGCTTTATAGTTACTTAGGCTTTATAAATCGGTGTTTGGTTTCAGTTTTAACCAATTGTTAAACGAAAATTTAGCTTAATCTGTCTTATAATGCGCGTAATTACTTCAAAAATATTAATAATCTATGATATCAATTCCTCCAACATAAATAGTTTTAGAACATAATCTTGCATGCATTCTTCTTCATTGAGATACCTAGATTTATTCAACATCAATCTCCTATTTGCGCATGAACTATACCAATAAAAATTTTAACTACAAGATATAGTCACAAAAATAAGCATTCATGTTGGCATAAAGCAGATGCTAATAGATAAATTTAATGAAAGGTCAATTAGTTTAGCACCTACTAATGATGCATCGCAAATTTATTTAAGAATTGGTAAGTGTGATGCTATGGATATACAAGATGAGAATAATGGCGGCTTCATACAAGTTCCATCTTGATATATCATCAGATAATTTTTATGTTAGGGCATGAATCTCAAGGCAATTTTGAATTGGAAAATTTCAAAATTAAATTCGGGATCATCTGAACTCCGATTTTAGCAAACTTATAGTCAAGTTGAACATCTCAAAAAACGAACCCAACGACACCAAATTTTATCCAATCCGAGCTAAAATGGGTCCAAATCAAGGGCCTGAAGAACATTTAGAATGTTCAAAATTTAAATTTGACAAACAAAGGATTTTTAAATGTGACATGCTTATAATCGAATCGAGTGGCTTGATGAGACAAATTCAACGAGCGCAACATCACCAAATTCTAATATCATTAAAATACTCAAATACTTTATAAATTGTTCATAATCAAGGAAGTCGATATCGGTCGTCCATCCGAAACACTCCCAACATGCCCTTAATCTTCTCCCTATTTATTGGTCATGCCACTCCTAAAAAATTATAAATAGACCCCTCATTCTTCACTAAGGGAGGGGGGAATCAAGAGGAGAATGGAAGGAGAAGAGAAGCAAGGAAGAGAAATCTGACATCTCTCTTGCCACAAAGCTCCTCTCGACCACCGTCTGGCCGCTAATCGTCGTCAAATTTTCATCGAACTTTTGTCTGGTCACCAACAATTGTATCTCTTATGAATGTTATACCATTATCTTCAAACACTAGTGGATTCTTAAACTATGCCCTTGTGATTTTCCTCTCTTTTTTTCAGTGGTTTTCACATAAAAACTCTTGTATCTCTTATGAATGTTATACAATTATCTTTTATCTGTTTATGTGTTGGATCTTTGTACAAAATTAGAACTCTAAAATTCATATTTCTCTAACCGCCGCAAATGTTCTAATCCGCCACACTTCTAAAATTCTTCCAAGTTTTTTGCCGCAATTTCTATCAGAAATCCCAATGAAATTTCCAGTTGATGAAATCTAATACTCTTATTCTAGTCAATAAACAGCTTTACAATCAAATTTTTTACATATCCAACATTGCTCCAAACATGACTGACTTTATTTTGGTCCTTTTACGGTCTAAAGGTGTAGTGATTCATATCGTACTTACAAGCTACATTTACCATCTCAATTTTAAATCTGTCCTACTTTTCATGTTCTCTTTTCCTAAGACTTTATGCTGAGAACTCAAGCCTTCCAATTTTTGTCTGGCTCAACTGTTTGGTTGTCCACCCAATTTAAGCAATTGAAGCATTCAGTTCTTAATAAACTATTCAAGGCCACATTGACAACAGCTCATCCAATGGGATGGATTATGGTAGCACAGCTTATGTTTCATGGGGCAAAATGCTTATTACATGCCCAAACTTCTACTTTGACGATAAGGTCATTTTGCAAAGGGATGTGAGAATTGATACACAGTGAAGAATCACTACTAATTCAGTAAGTAACCGATTAGTCACCAAGCAACCAAGATGAGATCATTAGACACCCACACGGCTTAAAGGCTACTCCATGGAGAATGAATTACAATAAGGTGTTCGTGGGTTAATCAAGTCTTTGGTTTCATTTGGGACAGTTTTCTTACTGTTTTCTAAAGCAATTTTCTATTTGAAAAATTTCTAATTCAAAAAAAATTTATATAAAAAAGTAGCTTAATTCAAAGAGAAATAAAAAAGTTGTCTCAAACAACGCCTTCATTTGGAATAGCTTTTTGTGTTGCTTTTAGATCACGCTACAATTTCTTTTTTGGTACTATTTTTTGTTGCTTTAAAAAAAATGTACTAAGAAGTTTCTTTCTACAATAGCTTTAAAAAGTTACTTTATATACAACAATTTTATAAAGCGGTGAGAAAACTGTCTCAAATGAAACCTAAATATTAATGGATTTGATATTTTGGAGTTTATTGTATAATGGAGAAGTATTCAGAGTCTGTTTGTTAAGTTGTAAAGGTAGTTAGCATAATAGGATGCATTTCAATGCTCAGCTTTAAGAATGAAGAGAGGATATCATAATAGAAAATTGTTATAATTGGCTATTTGTCATAAATAAACAATGAAAAATCAAAGACCTTTTTCTTCTTCTCCTTTCTCTGCATTATCTTTTCTGTGAGTAACTAAATCCTTCCATCATTGTCCGCCCTCTATTTCTGAGTCACCAAATAGCTCGAGAATATGCAATATATCATAATAAAAGGCCACTTTTGCGAAGAACAATAAACAAAACTAAGACTACTTACCATATGTCGTGAACATTACCAAGTCACCTAAGACAACTACCAGGATATCCTCAACTTATTCTAAAATAATTAACATAACATCACTGTAATCTTTAGAAAAATAATATAACCATTTTGGATTTTGAATTCAATCATGCAGTCGAGTTGATATTTTGATATTAACATTAAGCTACTCATAGCTATTTTAAACATGAGAAGACACAGTTAGATTTTAATGGAGTTCTTGCCTACACACATGTGGGCTCTAAAAATTTACGCCCTGGCCTCACCGCAGACACGTTCCTTTCTTTTCAGGTCATCAAGGAGAGTTTTAACAAGTAGATTATGGGGCAAATTTCAAGAAGGCATATTGGATTTGACATAAGACATTACCTAAAGATTTCACCCTCATTTTGTGAGGACTTTATGCTATGAGTTCTGATTTCTTATAAGCGCAAGCCCTTATAATTAATTACCCCTCTTGATAACGAGAGGAAACTTTCGATTAAGGCTAGTCATTAAATGGATATGAAATATATGGCGTATAGTAGCAGCTGGTTTGGTATGTGAAAATTTAATATTTAAAATTAAAATTTTCATTATGTTACACTTAAAGTGGATGGTGATGAGCCCAATCATGATCCCATGGTTCCATTATCTCAGGCCATCACGGTCCCAGATCTACTTAGTCAAAGGAGATAGTGAACCCAACTTGACAGAAGGATTCTTATCGACAATCATGGGTTGTTTCGTCCAAGGGTACCTTGTAGACCTAGGGTGAATATTTATTTATGGGGATAAACATGAATCCATCTTAACTAACATAGGGCTTTGTGCCATATTGATTATATCATATTGATTCATTGCTCAATGATTTAATGTCATTGGGTAACATACATGCTCTGACAATGATTATAATATAATGATATCATTTGGCGGTGAAACCATCAAGTTCAAAGGGCCTCAGTCATAACTGTTTATCAATAGTGTCATTTAGCGGCAAGACTATTAGCATGGTGTCATTTGGTGGCAAAACCATCAGTTAGAGGACATGTGTCTAGACCTTATTAATAAGAAACAGATTGAGAATGAATCATAGTGATTTTCTTGATCTAAAATTAGCTCTTTGTGAAAAGTGATTTTTAATTTGTCAACCCCGACAAATTATTATGGAGGGTGGATAAATATTTTTTTCTTTTAATCATTTGATGATTTATTTTAATTTTAAATATTTAAATCTTGGTGCTTTGGGATTTTAAATTTTTATTAGCATTTGGATATTATTTTTAAATGTTTGTAATCTCCTCCAGTTGAATTTTTTTATCAACAAAATCATCATCGGGGTTTTCATGGGTTACATTTTTGTTGATCGAAACTTGTCAACTCTATCAATTTACTGACAGAGTATCAAGTTTTAATCTAAATTTACTTTTTAACACTAAAAGAAAATTATGTATTGCCAGCGAATTTTCCGACGGGAAATTATTCATATTCTTGCAAATTTGGATGTTTTCCGGTGAATTTCCGACGAAATTTTTTTCGCCAGTAAAACAAGTGACGAAAACATGTTCTATCGAAAAAAACCGTCAAATATTTTTTTCTAGCGGAATATTTCCGCCGATAAATTTTCTGGAAAAAAAAAAAATCGCTGGAATAAAGAAAATTAATAAAAAAGGTAGCCAGTTTCAGAATTCCTGTCGACCCCCCTGGGTTGCCCACAACAGCTTCCCGCCACTCTTTAAATATTTCAAATAATTAATTTCTATAAATAAGTTATTAAATCAATGATTAACTAAACTTTAATAAAATTAATAATTAATTAAAATTTTTTATTTTAATTAATAAATAAAATAAATTATTAAATTAAAATTAATTAAACTAAATCATTAAATTAATACATAATTAAAATGATTTATTAAATTAAAAATTAATTAAAATAAACTATAAAATTATTAAATAATTAAATTACAAATATATTATTTTTTTACAGAAATTATTAAAATCCGTCGAAAAATCTACCAAAAATAAATTCGCATAAAGTCCGCTGGAAAATCTATTTAAAAATTAGTCGGAAATATTTCCCAGAAATCCACAGAAAAATTTGCCGGAAAATAGTCAGCCGAAAATTCCGCCGATAATAGACGATTTTCCTGTAGTGTAACCTGCGCAGGATCCTCAGACATCAAGTGTGTATCTATCACTTGCATGTCATGGCCCATACGAATATATATATTGTTGAGTGTATTTTGTATGATACTTTATATGTATACATGATATTACTATAATAAATCCCTTTACATATTGCAAATGCATACGAGATGATACTTTGAAATATAATTACAATGTCAAATAATATGCTTGAATGAAACCCTCTGCATTTTAAAAATGCATGCAATAGGTCATTTTGAAATCCAATAGTGATGTTAGAAATATACGCTAGAATGAAACCCTCGGCATCTTACAAATACAATCCGGATGTTATTTTGGTGTGTAGTAGCAATGTCAAACGACATGCTAGAATGAAATCCTCAAGATCATGTAAATGCATACTGAATGTCACTTTGAAATATACTTACAATGTCGGATGACATGCCCTCATAACTTATTTTGTAAGTTACAACGCATGCATATGTAATATATTAGCATGTAAATGCAATACATTTGTTACAATTAAATTCATCTCACGATGCTAGATAACATGCATGTTTAAATGAATTATCATGCATGTTGCAATACATGTATGAGGGACATTTTAAAATATTTGTATGTAGTGCTAAAGGGTATTTTTGTGATTATCAATTATGCAAATAACTACTATTGATAAATGCACCAAATTTCATTTAAGAATCTCCAAACATCTTCTATCCGCTTGCATGAGTGTTGTGGATTTGATGGCATGGCATAGCGCTTCAGTGGCCTATAATGTTTTACTACTAATTTCCTACTTCTGCTTAGAGGTGAATCGTAGCGTTGCATTAAGAATATCCATAAAATACCTCATTGTTTTGATACAGGCTCTCTTTTCTCATTCTTCAGGAGATCAGATCTACAAGTCAACTAGTCTTCGCTTAGATCAAATAAAAATTATGATTGCAGTTTAAAAAAACAAAAAGGTAAAAAATCTGTCCCAAATTAAAGCCCAAATCTTCATGCACGAGAAAAATTGAAAGGCAAGGGAGAGGAGGAAAGTAGATAAAAAGTGTATGACAACTTCAATTTCCTTGCTTTTTTCTTTGCTTCCCAGTTTATGCAAATAGGCAACCAGACAAACAAATGTTACAGTCGTTATTCTCTAAATCCAATTCGAAAAACTCCGAATTAAACTCTTCCATGAAAGTGATCGAACATAAAAGAAATCATGTCATCTGAACTCATTCATTTACTTCAATTATGAAACAAGGACCTTCTTCTTCTTGTTTCTCTTGATCACCTAATAGTTTTTCTAGCACCTTCTCCATTGAAGGCCTCTTCGCAATTTCTTCATCCACGCACTTCAGACCCACATTTAGAACCCTCAACATCTCTTCTTCATTGTACTTCCCACCTAACTTCTCATCCACAGCTTCCAGAAGTCTGCCTTCCGATTTCAGATTCCGAAGATTTCCTACAAAATTCAAGTATCCCTCAGTCCTCCTACAGCAAAGCTCAAGCACCAATAAGCCATATAAAAAAACATGTATCTTCGGTGTCGCCCATTCCTGAAGCTGATACCCTAAGGGATCCTCATCCGTATCCTGAATTGGTAATATACAAGAAGAGCTACTTAAAGACAAGCCAAAGTCTACCAATTTGGGATTCAATTCTGCATCCAGCAAGACATTTTCTTCCTTGATATCTGAGTGGATCACAGCAGGATTACATTCATGATGAAGATACACTAGAGCTTTAGCAATACCTACGGCAATATTGTATCTGTAAGGCCATAAGAGGATTTTATCACTCGAGAAGACATCGTAGAGGCTCTTGTTGGGCATATAGTCGTATACAAGCAAGGGTTCAGTAAGGTTCTCAGTACACCATCCCCTCATCAGCTCAAGTATGTTTTCATGGCGAAGATGGACTGTTCTGACCTCGGTTTCATAGCATTTCTTGCTAGAGAAGTTCTGGTTGAATCTCTTTACTGCATACATGACATGGTGATTGATCCAGGAAAGGAAGCTCTATATATTTAAGCTACTATGCCATCTCCAAGCAGCTCTGATTGGTGGAAATGTTTGGTTGCAGAACTAAGTTCACTGTATGTAAACTTTCGGAATCGAACTAGTAAGTTTGAGATGGTAGAATCCTTATATGGGTTTTGAAGAGCTTCTTCCTTGGCCTTGAATAATTTCTTAAAATAAGACCAGAAAGCTGAAAATGCTGATATAACAGCGAGCACAGGTGCGTAGACTCCAAGAACGATTTCTTTCTTTCATAATTATCACACTGAAAAGTACGATACTTGAAGATTTGAGGCTACAGTTTTTTATTACCAGATTGGTGCCATTAACCGCCTCCTTGGATGCTGAGAAACCCACGTAGAGGAAGGTAAGAAACTGATTTCCAAGATTGGACTTTGCAGAGAGAACGGGCTTCCTGATCTGATTTATTGGGTGAAGAAGCCAGACAGTCGAGCATCTGTTTCTTCTTGATAAGTATATATCCCACTTGAAATAGAGAGTAACATTATTTTCTACTTCTTGATATACATTCTTATCTAAGCCTTCGTTTGGAAGGGCTTTCTTACTGCTTCTTATTGTGCGATATTTTCCTATAAACATGCAAATTTAACTAATCCAAGTACTAAAATTTAAATTTGATATTTAGATAATTAAAAGCTTATTTATATGTATGGCATCAAGGCTATTTAGTGCTAAGCTATCATATTCATCACATAATCTTGGTTAAACTTCTATCAATCGCAAGATAACTTAAACATGCCAACAAATTTGATTAATGAAGTCATCTTAGCATTTAAAGTTACTCATCAGCTTAAAGTGAAGTTAGTAAATACTTCCTAGAGAAATATTTTTTTTCAACGATCTCATTGTTTACCTAAAGCTTATCCAGAGGTACACATATATATTGATAACTACAAGTTAAATAGTCTTAGGCTTTGTTTGGAACAGCTTTTTTACTGCTTAATACAACAACCTTCCAGTAAAAAAAATAATTGAAACTAGCAAAACAACAGTGGCAAAAAACTATCCCACATGAAGCTTTATTCATTTTATAAAAAACATTGTTAAATCTTATCATGTAATTTCACTTACATTACTAAAATGTACCCTCTCGTGTATTTTTGAACCTTGATCCTAGATTAATGGATAGGGCCTCATATTCTAGTTGACTCTCAGCATATCCGCTTATAAATTTTAATATATCTAATAAAATCATAGAGCTTCTCTCTCCAATTCTGTCTTTTTCTTGATTCCCTCACTTTTGTGAGGCTTATTCCATAAAAAAATTTTAGTATTGTCAATGGATATATTTGAATCCAACTAAAATTAAATAGAGAAATGTAATATTTTCATTAAACTTATATTATATATTATATGTAAATGAAGCATACTTTAAAATCAATAATAAAAGTGATTGGAATATTTGATTGAAGTAACAACCCATCTCATGGATTGGTGACATGGATAAATCATGCAATGAAAAGAAAAAACACACAAAGAAGCAAATAAAGATGTAAGGTAACAATTTTGGCCAAGTAATAATTTCTTCACCACTTTTAAATCAATAGGAAGTGAAAAACATAAGCATGTCCTAATATGAGTACTCTTTTGTATTACGCGAAAAGTATTAGAATATGTCCCGATCAAAGAGCCACACTAACATTGCCTTATTTTAGGACTGGTAATATCTTATTACAACAGAAGGACAATATTCCTATGCGTGCATGCATGGTTAAAAGAAAGCATGTCTCGTATAGATTTGGAGCCAAAGTAAATATTTAAGTATTGGACATATCAAAATCATCATCCAAAGCTAAATTCCAAATGAAAATTCAGATCAAAATTTTATGAAACATACTGTGTAACATAAATTGTTTATTCAGGTGGATCACTCAAATGAACTCGTCTTTAATTTGAAAATATTTTATGTGCATGTACACAAATAAAGATGTCATGATTATTCGATAAATTTTACGCTGGTAGAAAACCTTCCACTTTTCTCATCTAGGATTTGGGACCTGACAACGCAGTGTTGAACGGCTGCCTTCGATGATCCAGTTTGGAAAGAAGATGTATTAGATTTGACTTATGGTAAGAAGGGTAAAGGTAGACCTAAAAAGATTTGGTCAGAAAATATTAGAAATGACCTTTCTTTATTAGATTTAAATGAGAATTTAACTTTTAACAAGGCATAATGGAGAAATAGGATTCATGTAGCCAACCTAACATAGTGGGATAAAGGTTTGATGTTGTTGATGTTGTTGTACACAAATAAAGATGAATTTTCTAGCCTCAGAATAAAAAGTGATATGAGCCTAAACCAGGAAATTGACATTGTAGGTAAAAGAAATAAGAAAATTTGAGAGCAGCTTAGAGAAGGAAAGAATAGAGTGAACTACCACAACTGAGAAATGTCATGGTCAAGCGCATTCTTATTAATTTGACAGATTAAAGCATTTTTATTATGTCATACCCATTTTAGAAATGTGATGGAATGTTATATACTTTGAACGAGGGAAATTCGGTCAGTGGATTGACCTAAGAGCAAGGATCATTCATGAAATACGCGCAGGACTTTTATTATATCCTATTGCACGGTAGTAAATTTTAGTTGATTGAGTTGCTAGATGAGAGGTTCAAAATGAATTTATGATCATCAATTCTTAATCGACCAAAAAAAAATAGAATGTCTCAATGTTTATAAAGAACTTAAACTTGCAATTATGCATAAACTGAGTTATCTGTACAATCGACCCAAATTATTTAAAGCAATGTTGAATGTAGCTTGAACTAACTTAGCATGATTTGATTTGGTAGTAATTGGCTGTTGTAGGTGCCCACAATTCATTGCAACTCAACTCCCAGAAGGATTAAATTGAAAGATTAATATTCAAGGGCATGAATTAAGTAAACCACTAACTAGAAAAATTTTCAACCCATTAGAAAAAATAACAAACATTGTCAAAACCAACTAAATAAAAAAATCTAAGCCAACATCCAAGGGGGAGGACACACCAGTCATACTGATTAAGGCCTCATTGGACAAGTGGGAAAAGTTCATCAACTTGTCCGATAGCTCATGCAAACGTGTGAGATGTCATCTCCTCCAAATAAAGAAGATTAATTAAGTCCAAACTGGTCAAATGGGATAAGCCCCTCAACTTTGTCGAATAACCCATGCAAAAACGGCCTGTGGGCTCCGAAAATTCGGCCCCGGCCTTCCCTGTTGCTTTTCAGGGGAGTTTTAATGGATTAATTTCCAGGGTAAATTTTTGGGAAGGCAGATAAGTTTTGTAGATAAGATACTATCCAGAGATTTCATCCTCATTTTGAGGGGACTTTCTAATATGGGTTCTAGTTTCCTATAGGCACAAGCCCCTATAGTTAATTACCCCTCCTGATCACGAGAGAGAACTTTCGATTAAGGCTAGTCGTCAATCAGATACGTAAATATATGTGGTATTTGGCATATAATAGCAGCATGGGCTTAAGTATTGGGAGTTTGATGTTTAAATTGGAAATTTTACCATCATGCACTTAAAGCGGATGGGGGAGGAATGAATGATGGACCTAATCAAGATCTCATGGTTTCGTCGTCCCGAGCCATCATGATCCTTGGTTTACTTAGTCAGAGGAGGTAGTCGACCCATCCTGATAGAAGGAACATTGTCAGCAGTCATAGTTTGCTGCGTCCAAGGGTACCTTGCAGACCTGGAAGAATATTTGTCTAAGGGGACAAATTTGAATCCACCTTAGCTAACAGAGGGTTTTGTGTCCTGTCGATTATATCCTATTGATTCATATCTCAATGATTTGATGCCATTGGGGAGCATACAGGCTCTGGCCATGACCGTAATTTAGTGGTGTCATTTGGCAGCAAATCAAGCGGTTCAGAGGGCCCCGGTCAAAACCGTTTATCCTGCGGTGTCATTTGGCGACAAACCCATCGTTTAGAGGACATGCAAGAGATTGTTTGAGAATAAATTCTAGTGATATTCTCGACCAGACATTAGCTCTTTGTGAGCTAAAGTAACTTTCAATTTATCCACCTCAGCAAATTGTTGCAGATGATGGATGGATTTTGTGCTTTAAGTTTTTTTATGATTGAATTTCAATTTTAAAATTCTAGACTTTAGATAATTTTTGAAGTTATTTGAACTTTTAATTTTTGAAGTTTTTTGAATTTTGGATATTTGGGTGGCATTTAAAAAAAATGTGGAGTTAACCCCTCCTATTAAGATCTACGTTCAACACGGTCATCATCGGGGTGTTTACAGGGTCATTGTATTTTGTCTGTTGGATTATGTCGACTCTGTCAACTTGTCGACAGAGGATAGGGTTCATAGGCTTTATGTTTTGCTGATGATTTTTTTTGTCATAGACCTTAAAGGTCTTATATGATCGTATAAAATAGATATTTCGGTCGACACCCTAACCGTATATCTATTTGATAGTCGAGCCATATCGACTCTTATCTATCTATATAGAAGGATCGGGCTCGAACTGTGGTTCATTTATTAACCCGCGCAGCATCCCTAGACGTCACGTGTATACCCATAACACGCTCGTCGAGGCCCATGCGGGTTTAAAGTTATATGTGCATTTTGGTGTGGCTATATGCATACATATTACAGTACATGTGCAGGGGGCACTCTAGAAATTTGACAGATCTTCTTCCTACTATGATAGCTTGTAGATATTCAAATTTGTTATAGCCCTTTCTGTATTTGCCCGTAGATGATGTGTTAGATGCACGACCACTATTTACCGAGGAACTTGCAAGCCTCAATAATCTTATCCAACTCAATGTTCAGAACCTGGTTGAACTAAGATTTGCTCACTCCATAATGATTTGATCTGGCTTTCTCTTCCGAGAACTCTTATAGGAATCAACAAGCAACTCCTTGATTATGATAATCATATGGACATTTTTTTAAGGAAATTATAGATTTGTTTTGTTATTCATTAAAACTCCAATAAAGAAATTTATTTAACTTGAAATCTATTTTCCATATCTTCATATTAAATATTTCAATGTTAAAACTTATAGCATTACACGACTCCCACAAGAAGAGTTGAAAAGACATAAAGTTCCAATTTTACCGCAACAGACAAGATGGAGATAGATGTATGATATGACAATAATTACAGCAAAAGTATGAACATTCCAACCACAACACACTACTGAATTTCAAAGGAAAACAATTGACTTAGAAATTGTTATAGATGGAAAACCATCTCACTTCTAGCATATTTTAGGTCTTTATGAAGGCTTTTCAAGAATAAAAACTCTTCCTGGTACAAGTCATGATAAATGACAATTCAAAAGCTAATGCTATTTAAAAGTAAAATGAAGCAAGCAAGAAAATATCCAACGCAAGAAATACTAACAAGGAAGAAGTGCACTAAGTCATTGCGCTCCCGCCACAAGACATATGGCATTAAGGAGGGCTTAAAAGCTTCACTTAGGTCTCCTTTAAATAAAGAGGTAGGAAAACAAAAGAAAATTAAGACATTGGAAATATTGATCAAGTTTACTATAGGCTAAGAAGGACAACCTCCAAATGATGCTACTATGCACCCAAAAGAC